AGAAGCTGAGGGAGCACGCGCCCGGAGCTGGGGTCAGGGCGCTGATATTGTCGCCGACGAGGGATTTGGCCATTCAGACCTTGAAGTTCACTAAAGAGCTCGGCAGATACACTGGTTTGCTCTTTTATTATTATTATTATTATCTTTTTGTTGATTATCTATTTTTGCATTAGGCATCACTGAAAATATTAGATTTTGCTGACAACATGCTAAGCATGTGTTAGTCTTTTTCATTTGAAAGAGAACGCTAGACAGTGAAAAAAACTGATTTTTGAATTAGGAACATATAGAATTTGGTGGCGACATGACAAAGAAATGTTTGAATTCACCAAGGAGCTTGGCGAATTCACTGGTCGCAACTCAGTTCTGGTTAGTTTTTTTTAAATATAATAAATCTTACGAACACTGTGATCTTTTAATGAAGCTACAAGATGGTGTTTATTCCCAACTTTTTTTTTCCTCCAACCTAGTTTTGTTAGGCCTACCCCTTAGGCCATGTTTAGTATATACTGCGCTGCAATCTTTTTCATGAAAATGAAAAAAATTCAGAATTTTGGAATTTAATATTTGAATACTAAAAAAGTAGATGGATTTAGGCCCTTACAACTGAGTTGCACTTCACGCCCCGAGACCTCTCAACACATGCCCACAACACCTTCTGGGTGTGTGACCTGTTGGACAGCATATGTACAATGAATCAATGATTGATCTTAATCCATGCACATATACTTAAGTCCTCAAACTGGATCTTTGTATAGACAATGAAACTGCATCAAATCGCAGGAAATCACAGTATAACATCAAAACTTGCAGAATTGAAGTTTCTTAACATGCTAAAACAGAGTCCAAGAAGCAACATATTAGCAACATGCAAACGATGTCACAATGTACCTGGTCCCTTGAATGTGGAACAACATCCTGAGATGTTTATTATCAAGTCTACTTCATAACTAGAGTTAGGTAGCATGAGATTCCACATCCTTGGGACCTAGCACACTGTTTATGGCATCGTTTGCCTATTGCTACCATATTGTTTCTTGGACTCTGTCTAACCATGTTTAGAGGCATCACTTCCGCACTATTTGCTGCTGTACTCTGATTTTTTTGCCATCTGTTGTGCTTTGATTGTGTAAACAAATATCTAGTTTGATGTATTTACATGGATAGAGCTAGGTCCTTATACTATTGACTTGGTCACGTGCTTGACAGATAGGGGTGGTAAAAAATATCCGTATCCGGGAATATGTGCGTATTCGTATTCTATGTGCGTATTCGTATTCGTATTCGATAGGATACTAGTACGCTTACTAAAATCTGTAACCAATATGATATGGTTACGGATATGGTTATGTTGTGAAATATTTGATTCCGTATTTAGAATATCTGAATACATGTTGATCATATGGTTGCAGTTGTTTTAATTCTTAGATTAAAGAATTTGAGACCAACTATGATGATCAAAGGATATAATGTTAGTTCAGATATATAATGAACTCTATTGTATCATACAAACTATATATATTTTTCGATATTATTTGGTCTTCTTGTATCCGTTTTGTGTCGCATGCATATCTGCATATATGTATCAACATGTATATCTGTATCCGTTTTTGGCTTTAGCAGATATGGATATGAGTTTTCCTTACCGAGACATATCCGTATCGTATTTGTGATTGGTAAGTGAATACGGATATGGTAAGTATCATATCCGAGCCGTATTTGAACCATTAACATCCCTACCAACAAGTGTTGAGTGGTCTCAGGGTGTGACACTGCAGCTTAGTTGTAAGAGCCTAAAAATCCATCTGCTTATTCGCTTATTCAGTTATTCAAATTATAAATGTTATAGTTCTGAAATTCTTTAATTAAGAAGATTGCACCTCAATATAGACTAATATGGCCCAAACTAAAGACTATAATATTACTTAGCTAGTGCATTTAGTGGCCTCTATTGTATCTGACAAAACCATCTCGATCCATTCTCTCTCATTTGTCCTCAATTAGAGCAACCTCTACCTGATATTTTGATGAAAAAATGCTAGTACTGTATCAAATATGCTATTATTAAGATGAATATGGTATAAATAATAATTAGTTGTATTTTCTCTTGATTTTTCATGATTTCACATGAAAAAGAAGGCTACATCGGGTTTCATAGACAAAAAAGTGTTTTTTCTTAATCGGGAACCTGTGACATAAAACTTTGATGATGTAAAAGAAGTAATAACTAACATACCTAAGAATAGTTTCTTGAAGTTCAACAAGGACCTCGGCAGATTCACTGCTTAGCCTTCAGTTTATGTTTTATTTGTTCACCGAAAGGTGATAATCATATTTTGATGAGAATACACTAAACATGTTTTAAATATGCAACCACTAAGATGAATATGGTATAAATCATAATTTTTTTGAAAACTTTGCGTATTTTTTTGATGTCCTCTCACATTAAATAGAAGGATAATTGGATATTTGTAGAGCCTAAATAACTGATTTTTTTAAATTAGTATCATACGACAGAGTTTTGATTTCATAACTCAAGGTTTAAAGCATCAAGTATGAGAAGGCAAAACAAATAATTTGAATGGAGATCTCTGAAAAATTGATGTTTTGATGAGAATATGCTAATATTTTACCAGATATGCAGTCACTAAGATGAATGTGCGATAAATCTTTATTTGTTGTATTATCTGTTGTCTTTTCATGTAAAAAAGAAAGCTAAATTGTGCATCCATAGAGCCAAATAAAGTGTTTTTTTCCCTTCTTGGAATTGGGAATGCATGACATAGAATGACATAGAGTTTGGTGTCATAATTGAAGGCATACAAACAATCATTTCAAAGGAGGATGTAAAAATGCATTTCTTGTTGTTGGATTATTATAGTATTTTGATAATTTGTTTATTTATGTAGACCTTTGCACTAGCCTTTTGGTTGGTGGAGATAGCATGGAAGACCAATTCGAAGAGTTGGCACATAATCCTGACATTATTATTGCGACCCCTGGTCGGCTCATGCATCATCTCGCTGAAGTTGATGGAATGTCTCTCCGCACTGTAGAATATGTTGTGTTTGATGAAGCTGATAGTCTCTTTGGCATGGGGTTTGCTGAGCAATTACACAAGATCCTTCTGCAGCTAAGTGAAACTCGACAAACTTTACTCTTTAGTGCCACCTTGCCTAAAGCCCTCGCTGAATTCGCTAAGGCCGGTCTCCGTGATCCAGAGCCCGTGTATCTTAATGAGGGAATTAGCCCTGATCTTTCACTAGCATTCTTAACTGTGCGCCCTGAAGAGAAAATTGCTGCCTTGCTGTATTTAGTGAGGGAGCAAATCGGTTTGGACCAACAGACGCTGATCTTTGTTGCTACAAAGCATCATGTTGAGTTTCTTAATGTTCTGTTTAGAGAAGAAAATATTGAGCCTTCTATTTCATATGGTGAGATGGATCCAGATGCTCGAAAAATCAATGTCTTAAGGTTTAGAGCTAGGAAGACTATGCTGCTTATTGTGACGGATATTGCTGCGAGGGGTATTGATATTCCATTGCTTGATAATGTTGTAAATTTTGATTTCCCTTCAAATCCTAAAATGTTCGTCCATAGAGTGGGTCGAGTAGCTCGAGCGGGTAGGACTGGTACAGCCTATTCGTTTGTCACACCAGAGGATATGCCTTATCTATTAGACCTCCATCTCTTTCTCTCGAAGCCTCTTCGACCTGCTCCAACAGAGGAAGAGGTCCTTCAGGACATGGAAAGAGTATATTCAAGAATCGATCAGGCACTTGCAAACGGAGAAACAGTATATGGACGGTTTCCCCAGACTGTTATAGATCTTGTTTCTGATAGAGTTCAAGATATAATTGATGCATGCACTGAATTGATAACATTGCAAAAATCATGTACAAATGCGTTTCGCTTATATACAAAGACTAAAGCTGCACCTTCAAGGGAGTCTATAAGAAGAACAAAGGATTTGCCTCGTGAAGGGATGCATCCAATGTTTAGAAGCTTACTGGGATCCAATGAGTTGACAGCACTTGCATTTTCTGAACGTTTGAAAGCATTTAGGTTTGTGCTAATTAAGTTATTCATGAGCCCGTTATTCATTTCATCTATACTTTTGAATATGTTGTGGGCCTCCTATCCTTATTGTCCATTCTTGGGATATCCTTTTGATTTGCTTATTTTTCATTTTATGGGGTTAATCATCATTCCCAAGTTAAAGACTAATTGTTCTTTTATGGTTAAATGTATGCAGACCAAATCAGACTATTCTAGAGGCTGAAGGGGAAGCTGCTAGATCAAAGCATTCACGAGTAATAGAGCATATAACTTGTCTGTCATTTGATTTTCTGCATATAATATGTGTTAAATTATTTGGTTTTATTCATTTTGTGCTTCTACATTTGTTTCTACTTTTTAAGGTTAAAATACTGCAGCAAAGTACCTTGATAATTTTCTTTTTTGGTCTCATCAGTTATTTTCTTATTGTTATTACTTTCGAGTATAAGGGTATTCAGTGCTGATTTCCTGAAGTTTAGAATTCTGATTCCAAAATACGGACAATCAAATCCTGAACTCAGAGTTTGAAGTACTAAAAAATCATGTTTTCTCCAATTGTTGCAGCTTTCAATGACTGGTTATTTATTGTTTTTTACAGCTTTGCCTTTAGTAAAAAGTATACTTTATTTGTTATAGGGTCCAAATCAGTGGCTTGATGTGATGAGGAAAAAAAGAGCAATTCATGAGGAGGTGATCAATAAGGTGGAGCAGAAGCGATCTACAGATCAACAGAAGGTACACTTTATCTCTGGATCTGGTTTGAAATTGTCAATTTTGAATTAATTGTTTTGATGCATTCTATGAAGGGAATGTGCATTCAAATGTTCAGTAATACCAATATGCTGTTGGGAATTCTTTGATCCTTTAACTATTTTTATGAGCTAATCTGATAATTGTTCCAAATGCTTTGAATTTTTTGATGTAGCACTTTGATAAGAATATCCCATGCGAATGTTATGTTGAAGTATAATCTCATCCAAATCTTTATCTCATCGAAATGGAGTTGGCTACGTACAATTCTAGATCTTATAAGTGACTAATTTTCTTAGTTATCTTATTTTTAAGATTAGAAAGTAAATCTGGACACTTAGGCTGAAGAAACACTTAAAAATATTGAATCTAAGAACAGGAGCAGATATGCGAGCGAAAACATAGTAGGGACTGTGATATCGTGTCCCTCTTTGGACAGCAAAAAACAGAACAATCCCTTTCCCCTGCTGAAAAAAGAAAGAGCCTAAGTGTATAAAATTGTTAGCTTCAATCAATTCAATGTTCTTGGTGTTACAAAAGTCTTCCGTATTGACAATGTCACCCTGTCTTGTGGGGTAATTATAGTTTTTCCTTGTTTGTTATTTACATGTTCTATTAGAAAATCAACTCTTGCTCTCATCAGTTCTCTGAAGCGACCAGCATTATTTGACTGTATTCCACAAACATATTCTGTGGTCCTTCACTCTATATTGGAGATAGTGGACACTAATCACGTAATATGTAAACGTTATTTGCTAATCATGATACTTGATTGTAAGACCATAGACTGGTGCTTAAATCCCTGTCTAAAAGGACATAATGACTATTCCAATCTTAAATATTTACACCCTTCCCAAAGAGTTTATTTTGACTTTAGAAGAAATAATATTTCTAATAAAAATAAGGAATTTCTTCTGTTTAGGCCCAGTAAGAGGGATTGATCTGTGTCATCTCAACTTACTATCTTTAGAGTGTGAGGAGGTAGAGGCAGAAGATTTGGAACCTCTATTTCATCTCTTTCTATACATAATCTTTATTTTTTTCATTGAACATTATCAAGACCCATAAAAAACATACCGAGCTTACTCAGTTCAGTGATCATGAGAGAAGCCTGTATAACTGTTTTAAAGGACATGGCAGTAAACTTGAAAAAGGATAGCTAAAAGCAGCAGCAACAGCTAACAAGGTAACATGTAGCAAGCAAAGCTGAAATTAAGTCTTAACCAAGAAAATACGCATTGACCAGTGAGGATGAGCAAAAAGGCATGAACTGTGTTAATGTATTTAGGAAATGGATTTTTCGTCATAATTCACAGAATCACAGTGCATGGAGGAAGAACTGTCTTTGGGATTTTGCTAAATAATTCTCAAGGAGAATTGCCATTTATGAAATTCCCTGTCAAATTACCTGCTAAAGAAACTCCCAGTGAATATCTTCTTACTCTTCTAAGCTTTGCTAGCAATATAATGCTATACCTCCTAGATGTCCTAGGACAAATGTTATGACACATGCTTTCCATTCTTCCTAGAAGTCTTACCTAAGTTTTATCAGGTTTCAGTGCTTGAATGATCCCATATATTTGTATCTAGCCAAATGATGGAGTTACTGATGGTCATCTCAGGTTTCAGTGCTTGAATGATCCCATATATTTGTATCTAGCCAAATGATGGAGTTACTGATGGTCATCTGAATCGACTGCATTAGATTGTATGTCTATATTTGTATCTAGCCAAATGATGGAGTTACTGATGGTCATCTGAATCGACTGCATTAGATTGTATGTCACTGTTCTAAACCTATCTGATTAAATCTGATGTTGCTTTGGTTATGACTTCTGAGTCTATCTCATTTACCAAGGACAATTTTTATCTACAGAGCAGTTAAAATGGTGCTTTTATTGTTGTTCTTCAACATATTCAGATCTGTGTTTGTTCAGTTCTGTGGCTACTGTAAAATTCCATGAGAGATTCTAATTCTAGAACGGACAAGTAGGAAAATACTAAAAGTACATATTCCACAGGAAAATGCTTATAGGAAATGGTATGCGTGGAGTTCTGTCTTTAGTAGGCACATAATTATAGCATCTTTCAGCCTTGATGCGTTTCCATTGATAATTGGATAAAGGTAGCTCAGTGTAGTACCTTTAAAGTCCTCTTAAACAGTGGTGATTGATTAACATGTTTCTGTTTCAGAATTATCTTCTGGATGAAGTGATAAGGCATTTCACTGCTTCTGTGTTGTGTGATTATGTTTGCTGCAAGTGTTAGTTGTATATGGCAATAATCTGACCTGCTATCTATTTGGTCAAATCGAAGTCCAGAGGAAGGTTGCCTGGGCAGTCGTATGCAATGCAAATGGCCATGCTTATGTATATGTGCAGGAGCACTATATAGTATATAGAGTTGGAAAAGCATGTGTGTTCATGAAGTTGGTGGCGTCGCATGATCTGTAGCTGGATAGTTGCTGATATTGGTCATATCTTAGTCATTATTAGATGATGATTCTTTGTAATGGATTTAGAAGTCTGATTGCTTATCCTCTTTTTTTGCTTAATTTATTTTCTACCTGCCTATATATCAGTGTCTACTTTTGTAAGTAGAACTTCATTTGGCTCTTAGATAGTATGAATCCTTGCAACTTAATCCATCGATGTCTTTTATAATTTGCTTTTGAGGAAAAATAACTCGTCATCGATTCTTTTGTTGCAGGAAGTGAATCAAAAAAGCACGCCGTCAAATGACTGGGATAAGAAAGGTTCTTTTTTGTTATTTTGTAAACTTCTGCATACCCGTCAACAATATTTTATACAGCTTTTGTTCCTTGGCCATATCATAGTTAAAACACCATATGATGTATGAACTCTTCACTTCTTTTCTTCTTTACCATGCATCAAACACCTTGGTACAACCGTACAATTCACAGACTTGAATTATTTTTGAGAACTAGTTTCTCTATATAATGAGAAGCTATATGCACTGGGTTTTTGATTTGTCAAGAACAAATATTTTCTCTAGCTGGATGCAATCTATATTGCAGATTTAGAAGATATAGGAAAGAAGATGTACAAGATGTAGAATTATCTTCAAAATATATTTAAAATCTAAAAAAAACAATTCTGATATGCTATAAGTATGAAACCTACAACAAGAAACTGGAATCGAAGTAGTGAAAAAGTTAAAAGGGAAACAATTGATATATATTCTTGAATTAGGGTTTACTTGGTTCTCTTTTAGTTAGGCTTAATCTCACTTTGGTACCCACCCACAACTTCACCTCTTGTTTTTAATTTGATACCCCAAAGTGTTTTTTGACACTTTGATACCCCCAAGTTTCAATCTCATTTCACTTTGATACCCTCATCCGGATTTTATTAAATTTTTCTGTTAAAGTTGTATCAGCTGTGATACATTTACTGAATTACACCTCTTTAATGAAACATATTTTTGTTAGACCCTAAAGAGGGGATGAATAGGGTCAATGCTAATCTAATTCCGATTTTAAGCCAATTAAAAACTTTCTTGATTAATAAATTCTTACAAAAGGTATATGAGTGAGTTATGAGCAAGAATGTAAAATACACGCACAAAATAAATATACACAAAGCAAACTCAAACACAATAATATGATTACGGAGTTCTGACCTTCCGTCCTACGTCTCCGCTCCCCACTCTCGGAGAGAATCCACTATCACGACACACCCGGTTTGAAAGCCGGAACTTCTCTACACATTCGATTTTCTAGTTCACTGAAAAACTCTACAAGCCACTCACAATGTACATACACAAACTACAACCTCAAGTGTTGGTCCTCACGTATCGCCTTCCTCAAGTGCGTGACTTTACTACCTCTCACTAGGGTTTACTACCGACGCCACTTCTCTTGGTATCGACTACGTCCTCACCACACACTCCTCTCGGTGTAAATGTGTATTACAGAGTGATACTCTCACAATAAGGTTCAATTACAAGATTTGTTCATAATTCTCTAATTATGAATGAGAACACAATGAAGCTCACTCTCACAATATCACTCATCACAACCCACAATATAGTATATGTAATCCTAAAAGCTTAATAGGGATGTGTGTGTGATAAATGAGTATAAATAAAATCTAACTCAAAAAGAACTAGCAATAAAATTGATATGAAATTCAAAAATAAAAATGCTAGGTAATGAGTTAGGGAAACTTCCCTATAAACACAAAGAGTGGATGATGAGATATTGAGGATGAATTCCTCAACCAAAGATGTAAGCTCTTCTTTGTGAAAACCAAACCCCAAACTTAAAATAAACTAAATCAAACTTTTAAACTCTTTTAAAACTTGTTTAAAACTCTCTTGGATAGTTGGAAATAGTTAATGCAAAAGGGTATTTATAGGCTTAAAGAAACCAACCCAAGAATCCAACAAAAAACACTTAAAAACATTAAAATAATCAAAGCTGGAAATTAGTTGTTACTGTGCAACGGCTAACTTGGCGGTCGACCGTAGTGCCAAGGCCGGTCGACTGCAAAAGGCTGGAAAACAGAGAAAGTCTCTGGACAATTTGCGATCGACCGCCGCGATCACTCCGGTCTACCGCAGACAGATATATAACATGCACAGTTTTAAAACAGAAATGCTGATTTTTAAATTACCTTAAAAAATAACAAATAAATTCTAAAAAATATAAAACTTTAGGGAATGCTTGTAAACATGAAAATGAACATGTTACAAAAACTGGTTTTTAAATAGCACTTCCCATTTGTGAAATCTTATTATTCTGCAAAATCGGTTAAAATGCGAAATATCGAAACACATGATTTTGACAAAATGACTTAAACAAAGCTTTTAAACACCTTATAATGGATTTATAGAGTTATACAAGATATAAAAATAGTGTGAATAAGTCTTCAATCCATAAACATAATATTTATCTATAAATATAATATTTTGTAAATTCAATAGAATATGAAACTCATAAATGTGAAAATGAAGATATATATTGTTTCATATCTATAAAGCTAAACCAAAACATATATGTATATATATAACTGTATACAAAACAAAAACGTGTATGTGTGTGTAAATTTGAGCTTATAGAATTAGTACACATTATATATAAACCTATTCTAAGTATACCAAGATTGAATCTTCTGAAGCTTGAATTTGATTGGTTGACTTGATTTGCATAGGCTTCAATATCATTATAGCTCATTTTCCTGTGTATACTAAACAACACAAAACAAAATACTAAAAACAATATTAGTTATAAATTGTTTGTTAAATCATCATCAATACAAGAAGGCTAACAATCTCCTCCTTTTTGATGATGACAAATAATTTACCAAAATATGCATAAAAGTTCATAAGCATAAAACGACAAATATAAAAACATAAATACTCATATTTTCTCCCCCTTTGGCAACATCAAATAGGGGATAAACAATAGGAAAAAATGTGTTCAGGTCCCAAAAGCAGAAACTTTATGTGACGAGACCCCTCATAGTTTTCCTCATGTCGATCAGCCCCTTGAAGTGTGACACTTTATACTATAGTCCCTTTTTAGCAATTATTACATGCCAGCTAAGCTAAAATTCCCAAATTATCATTATCCTCTCACATCAATCCCTCAAATCAGCTCTCTCTCCTTTCTCTCTCCTCTCTCTCAAGCTCTCAAGCCCCATTCCTGCCCGCGACTACGTCCTTCACGACGACGTCGGGCTCTCATCTCCCCTCTCATCTCCTCTCCTCTCTCTCTCAAGCTCTCAAGCCTCATTCCTGCCCGCGACTACGTCCTTCACGACGACGTCGGGCTCCAGATCCGCGCCCTAGCTCGTGAGTTGGGCCATCAAGTTCCTAACCACTTCCCCTCTTCTCC